GCCCCCCCCCCCCCAACTCCTTTCTCTGTTGTCTTTGTTTAAAAATCTCTTTCGCTTTCTCTTATTTTACTGCTTTTTCCTACTTACTCGCATCAATATCTAAACATTCATGTCTGAAGTTACAGTCTTAACTACGGTACATACCTTGCTGGTGGAGACTGTACATGCCACACTATGAGATATTTTCTGATCAGCTGGTCCATCTTTCACCTTAAAGAAAAACTTAATGAATACATCATTTACATCATAACAAGATAAATTATTTGAATCCCTTAATCTAAAATCTAACACCTTGTCAACATTCCAATGAATGGAAAATGTTAATAAAATCCTGGCACAGCTGTGTTTCTAATTGGCACAATCGTTTTAATTTGTTTGTCTTCATGTATTTAAACTATAAAGTAGTAATCTCTGTTTGTCTGTTTGTATAACTCAAAAACCCCTTGACCGATTTGCCTCAAAATTTGAATGGCAACTCGGTATAACCACCGGACTGACTTTACGTTGGATTTCAAATTTTAAATTAAATGAGTTGACATTAAACGGGAAAATATAGTTTCCTGCCGAAGCTGGGTTCCCTAGCTAATTTTAAAATAAATGAACGATCTCTTTGAATAAAATCTAACAACCTTCTCCTGCCATTCTAGCTCCCCGCTCCAGATAATCTCTCGTTCACGATGTTGAGGATTGCGCTGACCAGCCTGACCTCCAGGTACACCTAGACCTCCAGGACCTCCAGATACACCTAAACCTCCAGATACTCCTTGACCTCCACCCATACCAACCATAGAAACCTGAACCAGGGGAATCTTAAAGGGTTTATAGTTTCAAAAATAATCTCCCGCATTATTTAGATTTTTTAGTTAAATATAATTTTTTTTATTAAAGTTGCCTTTTGATGTCAAATTTTTCATTTTTCCCCCCTAATCAGTATTTTAGTTAATATTCTTTTTTTTTTATAAAAACAACACATTTTTAAAAGATTCAAAAACTTTTTCATGGTATTTAACTATTAATTAAACCTTTTCTTTTACCTGACTTGTCATACCCCCAGACATAAGAGGTTGGTTCCCCAGCATAGCTGCCATCTGACCTGAGGTGGACTGATGAACCATTCCTGGCATACCCTGAACTCCTTGGACCGGGGTTCCAGGGAATCTAAAAAGTAGGTGTCCCGTTTGTCCAAATAAACATGAAAATTAAAAATAACTTTAAAAGATTGGCTTTAATCAACTTTTATGAGACTGCGCATTGATTACTCCAAAACGTTGTCTACCGGCGCCATGACAAACTCCTGAAAGACAAACTCCTGAAAGACAAACTCCTGAAAGACAAACTCCTGAAAAGACAAACTCCTAAAAGACAAACTCCTGACGAGACAAACTCCTGAAAATATAAACTTCTGAAATACAAACTCCATAATATCAAATTAAAAAAAATGTTTCACAATTTATATTTAATCTAGCCGCAGCGCTCGGCCCAGAAAGTCTCATAACTTAACCTATTTCATGGCCGCAGCGCTCGGCCCCTAGCCTGTCCTAGCCGCAGCGCTCGGCCCAGAAAGTGTCTTAACTAACCTAACCCATGAAAGCAGCGCTCGGCCCCCTAGCATGTCCTAGCCGCAGCGCTCGGCCCCCTAGCCTGTCCTAGCCGCAGAGCTCGGCCCAGAAAGTGTCTTAACCTAACCTAACCCTAAATAACAAAAAATAAATAATAATAAATTTGCTGGTTATTCTGATCATTGTAATACTTTGCTGGTTGAAGCATATTCAAATTACTAAAGATTGAGAATTTTTTCTAGGATATTTGCGGATTTTTTCTCCTAAAGTTTATGAATTTTCTCATATTTCATTCAGAGAAAAATTTCATAATTTCAGTAGTTTGTCTTGTCAGGAGTTCTTGTCAGGAGTTTGTCTTGCAGGAGTTTGTCTTTCAGGAGTTTGTCATGGCACCTTGTCTACCTTCTTTGTATTTTAAAAATTTAAAAGTTATAGAACATTCACGGTTAAAAAATATATATAATTAATTTTTAAGAGCACAAAAAAGGCAGACCACATTTTGGAAATGCCAATACCCAATTTATATTAAGATTATCGCTTGAGTAATTTAACTTTTAAATAAAACATGAAAGCACTAGCAGCAGTATATGTCAAGATGTATTCCTTTTCTACTGGAGAAATATTCCTGTTAATTGCAATTTGCGACACAATACTTTTCTAAGAAATCTCGATATTTTCCAGATACTGACACACTAATAATTGAGTCCTCTACCCGTGGTTACCTAGGATTAACCGGCTGCTGTATCTGATTGACCAGAGGCTGCTGGGGAAGCTGGCCTCGAACTGGGAAGTTCCAACCTTGGTTGATGGGAAGAGGTTTCTTGCCAAGCAATTCTTTCAATGTAGTGTTATCCTAAACAAATATCCCTTTAATTCCTGAACCAGGACTAATCATACACTCAATGACTAATCAACATTCCCTATAATACGTGAACCAGGACTAATCATACAATCCCTTTAATACTTGAACCAGGACTAATCATACACTCCCTTTAATACCTGAATCAGGACTAATCATACACTCCCTCTAATACCTGAATCAGGACTAAGCATACACTCCCTCTAATACCTGAATCTGGACTAATCATACATTCCCTCTAATACCTGAATCAGGACTAATTATACACTCCCTTTAATACCTAAACAATGACTAATCATACACTCCCTTTAATACCTAAACCAGGACTAATTATGCACTCCCTTTAATACCTAAACAATGACTAATCATACACTACATTTAATACATAAACAATGACTAATCATACACTTCCTTTAACACCTAAACAATGACTAATCATACACTCCCTTTAACACCTAAACAATGACTAATCATACACTCCCTTTAATACCTAAACAATGACTAATCATACACTCCCTTTAACACCTAAACAAGACTAATCATACACTCCCTATAATACGTGAACCAGGACTGATCATACACTTCCTTTAATACTTGAACCAGGACTAATTGTACAGAACCTTTAATTCCCGAACCAGGAGTAATTGTACACTCCCTTTAAAACTTGAAACAGGACTAATCAAACACTACCTTTAATACTTGAACCAGGAATGGTCATATACTTCCTTTAATAATTTGAACCAAGAATGATCATACACTCCCTTCAAAAGAAGTTGTGACAAATATAGAAGGCATCCGTGAGCTGCTGTAAGAGACATGCAGAACAAAGAAAAAAAATAAACCAGAAAGAACAATCAGCAACTCTTAGGTAAACAAAATCATCCTCATAATATGATAATCTTATGAGGAAAAAAATGTAATAATGGAAATTCTTAAACGAGATGAAATAATCTTGATACATTCTTTAACGAAGGCCGCAGGCCTGAGTTAAAGAATGTATCAAGATTATTTCATCGAGTTTAAGAATTCCATTATTACATTTTTTTCCTCATAAGATTAATATTATATCATAATTGTGAGGTTTCATGAGCACATACCCTATTGAATTTAACTAATTGTTTTTTTTCAGGTGAATTATGAATATTTCAAGTTGGAAGAACTGACAATAAAAAGCGTTGTGAACAAGTTTTCGTATTTAAGTTTAACCTCTTTCTTGATTGTCTCTGTCCTTTTATTTTATTTTTCATTTGATTTAACGTTACATATTGCATGTCGTGTCATTGTTTAGTTAGTTTTGTTAGTTTTGGTTTCTATTTTGTAATGCACGTTTGTAGCTAGATTGTCATTTCCAATAATTACTATATTCAGATCTAGCATGCCAAGAAATGTGCCGTTAAGTGTTTTAGACGAGGAGAAGATAGAGAGTGGGGGTGGATTAGCCAAAGCGACAGAACGGGATCGAGAGATAATTTACAAACAGTTCATATCCTGGGTTTCAGATCAAACTAAGGAGAACAGAGATATTTCTCTCTATGATGATACAGATTTAGAAAGATTCGTTTGGACTTTCTTTTTCACAATGCGTGTTACTCCTAAGGTTTGTTTTATAAGATGAATGTTATACGTTATATAACACCCCCCCCCCTGTCACCCATGAGTGTCCACAAAAACATTTCAGCCCACTGGATCCGGCATATATATGAAAGTCTTCCTTTATTATATAGAATGTACATTGTACAACCAATATTTGAATACTGTATTTAATTTAATTTAGGGGAAGTTTGTTAGAAATGAGAAAGTAGGCCGGCCAAAATTGAATACCGCACTGAAGCATTTTTCTCAACTGAAGATGTGTCTGAAAATGAAGTATGTATATTTATTTTAAATATTCATAATATTTAATAACCGTGTAAGAATGAATATTCTTCAACTAGTGAAATAATTTTCATTCTTTAACGCTTGGAGCGTGTAAGAATTTGCATTCTTTCACGCTCCGACCGTGTAATAATTTCCATTCTTACACGGTCTGCGCGTTAAATAATAAAATTCTTACACGGTCTGAGCGTTAAATAATGAAAATACTACACCTACAGTGTAAGAATAAGCATTCTTAAACGCAAGGAAGCGAACAATATTAAAATTGTTCCTTCTGAACCGTGTAATAATGGGAATTCTTACACGATAGGTTTACTACTATGAAACCGAACAGATATGATATAATAACTCTTATAAGAGATCCAGAGGATTAATCAACAATAAACAATAAATAAACAATATCTGAACCAGGACTGATCATACACTCCCTTAATACATGAACCAGGACTAATCAGACACTCCCTTTAATACCTGAACCAGGACTGATCATACATTTCCTTTAATAATTGAACCAGGACTGATCATACATTCCCTTTGTTACTTGAACCATGACATTCCCTTTATTACCTGAGGTTGTGAAAGAGCACTCTGTAGTATTGTCTGATTGCCTTGAACACCTCCAGGTTGTCCAACTAGTCCACCACTAGATACCTTCACAGTAAACAATATAGATAAATAATAATGAGAAAGCTTTTTTTGCTGTCTAGAAAATTGTCTAATTCTAACAATTTCTCCATGATTTCAGAAATCCACAAACCACTTTTATAGATAAACCACAATTGGAAATGATTGACTTCAGATAGAAAAACATGGATAAATTTCATATTGTTTTTCAGAAAAAGGTTTCAATGGTCCCGTTGTCTTGAACAGGGTGACGTTAACAGTCCATTTGAGAAACATAACAAAGACAATTTGATTTCGGTTTTGTCTGATTCTAGATGAACTATCTAGCTATCTAACTGAACTAACCTGTTGTTGGTTAATATACTGTGAAGGTTGGTTGATGAGCCCCTGCTGCTGATGATTAGGAGGTATCTGGAACCCTGGGGAGGAGGCAGGAGGAGGTTTAGGGGTTATTGGTCTCTCCTCTAAACTGAATCCGCGTAGTAGAACCATGTGACGCAAATCCTAGGAAGTTTATCTTATACAGTCAACTTATCTTTATCAATAAATACACTTAAGAAAAGGAACTGTTGGCAGATGTCTTTATATGATGTCACTTAAAAAAAATACTGAAAACGTGCTTTCTGTTACATTTAAGAACTAAAAGAAACTCAATTAATAAAATCTCCATTCTAGGAGACTTAAACGGAGAAGTGAGACTAGTGCAAGAAACTTTCCTGGCGATAAACTTTGTGATTACATTATCTGCAAAATATTGAAGTTCTTAAAAATTCCCTCTTTCTTTAAATCTGAATATTTTCAGATGGTTTCTCACCATTAAGTATAAACTATGAGCAAGCGGGGGTCAGGATTAATAGCCTAAGGTGAAAATCTATTTATAAACTGTTTAATGAACAAAATTAAAACATTGGTGATTTTTAAGGGTTACCCTGTCCTCTACTGTCAACTACGGGAGTAGACCAAAGCTACAGGAGTAGCTAACAGGAGCAGGAGTACTTTCTACAAACTTAGCTACAGGAGTAGCTAATAGGAGTACCCTCTACAACAGCTACAGGAGTAGCTAATAGGAGTA